CTACCACTTGAATCAATATAAAAAGACTGTTGCAATTACAAACAGCCAACAGATTTAAATGAAATAAGAAATTACAATATATATGTAATATTTTAATGCAGGATAATTAAAATGATGCAACATACTTAGAAAGACCATGGACATGCTGTAAAACACATTAATTCTTCACAGGATTGACGGTGGAAATACAGGTGAATCACTAGGATTAATCTTAGCCTGGCTGTTAGCCTGGTCTGGAGCAGGCTAGCTGCAGAGAATAAATCACCATAGTAACTTGGCCGGGATAAGTCTGACCTGCTTTCATGCAACCGACTTGAGGCTAAATTAAGCCAGGATAACCAACATATCCCGGCTTAATCCCTTATCCTGGTTTTGTGCAATACCCCTCTGGTGGGTGGGGGGTGGTGACTAGGGATTAGTTATTGTTTGTATTGTGTTTGTGTTCCATATGTTGTGAAAATCTTAAATAAAAAGACCTTATTAAAAAAAAATTCAGTCTGTCGAAGGTTAAGGTATTGTCTTGGTCCCGTAGATGGCTAAATACGTGTCTTGGTGGCCCAGAATTAGCCACCAAGACACGTAAGACCGACATGTACGGAAATTGGTACACATGTGTTTCATGATGGGACAAGCAAAAAAGCCTCTTGGACCCATAACCCAAACCCAACAGGAAGTCGGCCATTTTTAATTTTTTAATATGTATTTTTACTCTAATACTGATGACTTCAGCTTTACTTTGATTTATAATGTTAATCACATCTGGACTTACACAGCCTTTCTGCAGTTCCTCACAGCTGGAATCAGTCTCCGTCGTCCCTCCTCTGATGTGTTGTATTTCTTCAGGTCCAACTCATCCCGAACCTCCTCTGACATCTGCAGCATGTAGGCCAGAGCTGAGCGGTGGATCTCAGAGAGTTTCTTCTCTGATCTGTTCTCTGACTTCAGGAACTCTTGGATCTCCTGATGGACTGAGTGGTCGTTCATCTCCATCAGACAGTGGAAGATGCTGATGCTTCTGTCAGGAGAGATATCATCACTGTTCATCTCCTTCAGGTTGTTGATGGCTCTCTGGATGGTTTCTGGACTGCAGTCTGTCTGACCCAGCAGGCCTCCTAAGAGTCTCTGGTTGGACTCCAGAGAGAGGCCATGAAGGAAGCGAACAAACAGGTCCAGATGGCCAATTTTACTTCTCAGTGATTTTATCATTGCTTCCCTCAGGAAGTCATCCACAGTTGAATTAATGTGTCTTTTTCCCAAGAAACTGTTCAGTATGTCTGTGTTCCTGTTGGTGTGGCAGTGGAACATGTAGACTGCAGCCAGAAACTCCTGAATGCTCAGATGAACGAAGCAGTAGACTGTTTTCTGGAAGGTCACACTCTCTCTTCTGAAGATCTCTGTACAAACTCCTGAGTACACCGAGGCCTCTGTGACATCAAGACCACACTGCTCCAGGTCTTCTTGGTAGAACATGATGTTTCCTTTCTCCAGCTGTTCAAACGCCAGCCTCCCCAGCTTCAGAAGAACTTCCCTGTCAGCCTCCATCAGCTCCTGTGGACTCGTCTCATGTCCCTCATCATACTTCTGCTTCTTCCTCTTTGTCTGAACCAGCAGGAAGTGTGAGTACAGGTCAGTCAGGGTCTTGGGCAGCTCTCCTCTCTGGTCTGTAGTCAACATGTGGTCCAGAACTGTAGCAGTGATCCAGCAGAAGACTGGGATTAGACACATGATGTGGAGGCTCCGCGAGGTCTTGATGTGTGAGATGATCCTGTTGGACAGATCTTCATCACTGACTCTCCTCCTGAAGTACTCCTCCTTCTGGGCGTCAGTGAAGCCTCGTACTTCTGTTACCCTGTCAACACATTTAGGAGGGATCTGATTGGCTGCTGCAGGTCTGGAAGTTATCCAGACGAGAGCCGAGGGAAGTAGATTCCCCTTGATGAGGTTTGTCAACAGCACGTTGACTGAAGATTTCTGTGTGACGTCAGACACAACCTTCTTGTTCTTGAAATCCAGTGAAAGTCTGCTTTCATCCAGGCCGTCAAAGATGAACAAAAGTTTACAGACAGCGAGCTGCTCTGCTGTGATCTTTTGTAATGTTGGATGGAAAACATGGAGCAGCCTGAGAAGACTGTACTGCTCATCTTTGATCAAGTTCAGCTCCCTGAACGAAAGCAGAACCACCAGACTGACATCTTGGTTTTCCAAACCCTCTGCCCAGTCCAGAGTCAACTTCTGCACTGAGAAGGTTTTTCCAACGTCAGCGACGCCGTTCATCAGAACCACTCTGATGTGTCTCTGTTGGTCAGGTAAAGCTTTGAAGATGTCGTGGCACCTGATTGGAGCGTCATGGAGGGTCTTGTTCCTGGAAGCCGTCTCAAGCTGCCTCACCTCATGTTGGGTATTAACCTCTTGTCCCTCTGTGATGTAGAGCTCAGTGTAGATCCTGTTGAGGAGGGTTCCACTTCCTGGGTTATCAGTTCCTTCAGTCACATGTTCACATCTCTTCCTCAGTCTGATTTTATGTTTATCTAAAACCTCATGCAGACCATCACTCACTAAAAAAGATAAAACATTTGAGACAAAACATTTTGACAAATTTGACAGTCTAGTGATTATTTTCAGTCCCAATAAGAAACAATGTATATAAAATGTAAGAATTGATGAATCTTAGAGATACAAAGATCATAAAGTCCACTTATTATTGACTGCTCACTGTGGATGTTCTTGCAATATTTAATACAGAATATGTTCATGTCTTGTTATTTAGACTTGTTTTCATTGAATAGCAATGCTAAAAAAGACAAACACTTCAAATCTTGTTGACAAATATTGATTTTGTAGTACTGACAGATAGAAGGTTTATCTATTTATTTATTTATTTATCTACAAAATGGGGTTGCACAACTGAAAGGAAAATAGTACACTCCACCAAGAAGCTGTAACACAAAGTCTGCCTTCACACAAGCAATAAGCTTCCTCCAATTTACAGTCCAAATGGACAAGACTTTTTGACATCAGAACAAAAACTCTTTTCAATCTGGCTTGTCCACAACAGACAGATATCTGGCTAACAACGTAACACATCCAAGCAACCTCTTTGCTTTATGAATAGGTAATTTAATGGGTATATAGCTTCACATCGCTCAACAGCATACGTGGCACTGGCTTCTGCACTGGCTGCCTGTGAAATTCAGAATAGAATTTAAAATCCTCACCTATAAAGCTCTTCATGGTCAGGCACCTTAATATCTTAAAGAGCTCATAGTACCCTATTACCCCTCTTGAACACTACGCTCTCTGAATGCTGGGCTACTTGTGGTTCCTATAGTCTCTAAAAGTAGAACAGGAGCCAGAGCCTTCAGTTACCAAGCTCCTCTCCTGTGGAACCAGCTTCCAGTTGTGGTTCTGGAGGCAGACACCCTCACCACATTCAAGAGTAGGCTTAAGACGTTCCTCTTTGATAAAGCTTATAGTTAGGGCTGGATCAAGTGAGTCCTGAACCATCCCTCAGTTATGCTGCTATAGGCCTAGACTATCGGGGGATTTCCCATGGTGTACTGAGCTCCTCTCTTCCTCTCTCTTTCTGCACTCATTCATGTTCCATTAATGCATGTTACTAACTTCACTTCTTCCCCGGAGTTCTTGTGCTTTCTCATCTCGCAGGTTCTCATGGATCCTAGTGAAGCCTCCTGCCATGGTCCTGCTAGATTGCCATTGCCAATACTGTTGTTGCTGTGCACCTGTCTGTCTGTCTCTCACTCTCTCTCTCTCTGCCTCTCTCTCTCTCTCACCCCAACTGGTCGAGACAGACGACCACCCACCTAGAGCCGGAGGATCTGTCCTAGGTTTCTGCCTTTTAACAGGCAGTTTTTCCTTGCCCTTGTCGCCAAGTGCTTGCTCATGGTGGTACTGTTGGGTCTCTGTAATTAATGTTCTTAAACTTCTGTTATGAATTGGCGCTATACAAATAAAATTTAATTGAATTGAATTGAACTGAACTTTAAAGTGGTCCTTATTTGTGGTTTATTTTCTAGCAGTTTTTAGTAATACTTAAAACTTTTCAGCACAAGTGGTGGAGTCACAGGGGCATAGTGGAGGGTAAACCCAAGTTATTCACCTCTAAGCCAGAGTTTACTCCTCTAGAGCCACTTTATTTCCAGTATTCATATTTGATCACCCAGTTGCACATGCAGTCTCGCTCCACAGGCAACCCAGCTGTTGTTTCCTGACGTTTTTTGCCAAGGCGTTTTCAAAGCAGGCGTGCATGTAGCGATGTGTCTGTGTGTCCTTCCCATCAGGAATACATGGTGAGACACAAGGAAACATTTCAAGCAGAGAAGGACCAATGAAATATGTTTTTAGAGGAATGAGACGTCCTGTCTTCTGGAGCGACGACCATTTTGAACAACTGTAGAGACTTTGATGGAGTTTGTATCTGCACACGTGCACTAATATACATACATATGACTATAAATACATGTATATATTTTATCTGTTATATCTGAATATAATTATCTGTTGTTCCATGTGAGGAGCATGAAGGAACTTTTATTTCTTTGTGCATGTTTGTGTTGTACAATGACAAATAAATTACCTTGATGTAGATCTTTGCACATATGTCTTTCCATATCTGTGTATAGAAAAATAGAATTACTACAGGTCATCCAGTTACTGCATCAAAGTCAGCATGTTAAACATATTTTTACATTTTTCCCATATGGTCACTCAACATTACATATACAGTTGTGTACATTAGATTTTGTATAGGTCAGTTCCTTTGTTCACACTGCTATGGGCTTTGAACTTCCTGTCCATGTCCTGGAAGTTTGGACTATGCTTTACAATGTGCTCTGCTATTACTACTATGCATTTATTAAAACCGATCAGTCTGACTGACAAAGCTGACCATCAGCTAAAATCAATGAGACTTTCAGACATGAGCTCATTACATTAAGCTCCACGCCAACTAAACAGAACCAATTGGCCCTCGTCCAATCAGGTCATCAGCCAAACAAAGCCTCTGATTGGACAGCAGAGCTCCACCTCCACACAAAGAGACGTTTTTAAAGTGTCAGTCCAAAGCAGCAGAGACAGAAGACTGAACACAATGAGTCCAAAAATTGTCATCGCCTTCATCGCCATGGCTCTGCTCCTCATGGCATGTGAGTAATAATCTTTACTGGGTTCATTTTTGCATCTTTATTAACAACGGACGACAATATGACATTGCAGCTTTAAAGCATTTACATAGTAAAATGTCTGTAAACACTACAGCTATGTTCTATTGTATTAAGTTGTGTTCTTACATTAACCCAAATGTTTCCAACAATGTTCAAACTCAAAGAAATAATTTTATTCAGGTAACGCTGCGTTTCACCGGTTGCCTGTCGATGGCGTCATATCCCCTTTGTGCCTGCGTCAGCGTTGTGGTTGTCTGCCAGAAGCTGTCATACATTGACTGTTTATCCAGTCTGAAGCCACATTTTTACCATCCACTGTTTAGATCTTGGTGCTTTTTAACTCTAGATTTGAACCAGATGAAGAATTTTAGTCATCAGGCGTCTGGATCTTAAGTTATCAGACCAAGGTAACCATGGTATAAACTTGGAGGGGGTCCAAATGAGAGAGATTTCCCACAATTCTAATTGAAAATTTGCACATTTAAAACATTTTTTGATGAATGAATAGTCTATGATTGCCTGAGATCTAGAGCTATTTACTGACCCTTACCAATTAGAATGATGTATTTTGCAGTAGTGTCAAATAGGATAATTTCCAATGGGGAAAGAATTTCATACCCAAAGCATGTAAACATTGTGATTAGAGCAACAACTAAAGCAGTACTTGAACTGTGCTCTCTGTGCATTGTGACCAAATATCATATTCCTATTTTACCAGAAAAACAAGGACTGACTGTAATTAGTGCTGTACACACAATATTTCCTATTTTGCCAAATGTTTGTTCAAACATCACCACAACATTTGACAATAAACACGACATCAGCAGATGCAGGGATTTTAACTCATTAACCATGAGGAGAAGAAATATTTTTGCACAGTGGGTTCCTTACAGTGGGATGATCCCAGTTTTACTGATATAGACCCCGCCTATTTGTGCCTTAAAATTATTCCACCATTTTGGATTTTTTTTGGGACATATTTCATCTAATCTTCTCCCAAATCAGTGCATAGCATATTTAAATTAAGCTAAACAAGACTTATAAGTCTGTGTTTGGGTATCACTTATCGTTTGTCTGTAATTGGTTACCAAACTTTTGAAGGTGTGGCCCGATGCACTTAACAGGCCATAATTCTTCGATGTTGAATTTGATTGCAACTATTAATATAATAGTAACAATAATGATATTAATATATCATATTTTTTACTGAAGTCCAATAATTCTACAGTAATTGTCCTTCAGAGACAGTTATTAAAGATTTCCGGGACAATTTGACAATAATACCCAAGTAAGAGGTTAGGTATAGATACAGGGCAGATGTCAGTGCGGTAGATACAGGGCATAGGTCAGCGCTGTAGATACAGGACAAAGGTTGATGCTATAGATACAGGGCCGATGTCAATGCTGTAGATACAGGACATAGGCCAATGCTGTAGATATAGGACAGAGGTTGGTGCTGTAGATACAGGGCAGATGTTAGTGCGGTAGATACAGGGTATAGGTTGGTGCTATAGATACAGGGCAGATGTCAATACTGTAGATACAGGACAGAGGTTGGTGCTATAGATACAGGGCCAATGTCAATGCTGTAGATACAGGGCAACAGTTGGTGCTGTAGATACGGTGCAGATGTCAATGCTGTAGATACTGGGCATAGGTCGGTGCTGTAGATACAGGGAAGGACAGAAAATTCAAACATTAAAATATGCTGATAAGAACTCATTTCCTCTGTTTCAGATGAGGCTGAAGGAGGTTGGTCAGCTTGTGAGACGATCGGTGGATTCTGCAAACCTCCTGGAACATGTGGCGTGTAAGCTACTGTCATATATCATCATCATCATCATCATCATCAAGAACCTTCTCAGAAACATGGCCTTGTTTCAAAGGAATAGTTGTACATTTTGGCGATCCTCTCATTCTCTTTCAAAGAGTGACAGGCTCAGATGGAAATCAATCTCATGTCTTTGTTCGGACGTGGTTAGCCTAGCCTAGCATAAGGAGCCAGGAGATATTTCTGTCATAGGTAACTCGTGTTTCAGCGATAAACAGAGAAGGTTGAAGAACCCAATCAGACATTATTCAATGATGTTTCAGTAATAAAGCCAAAAAAATACATATTAGGACAAAAATGTAACAAGTATGAAGGAGCTACCGACAGCTGCATTTAAACTCACAGCCGTCTTTCCAAAACTATCAGAATTACAGCATGTAAATGTACTGTGGCTGTAACATAGAGACTGACTCACTTCTGGAGCCAGCCTCCAGTGGCCATTTGAGGAACTGCAGTCTTTGTTACTTCTTTGTGACCGGTTGGCGTTACCAGATAGTTTATGGATCTGCCTGATGCATGCATTACGAATTAATCTACATTAAGAATAATTATGAAGACAAACCATGGATTACAAAAGGGCTGCAGAATGCATGCAAAAAGAAAAACACATTATATGGGAGATTTCTTAAAAGCAGTTCAGAAGAGGATGAAATTAAATACAAGAGATATAAAAATAAATTGGTATGCATTCTGAGAAACAATAAGAAGGAATATTATAGGAAACTGCTGGAGAAAAATAAAAGCAACAATCAAGGAACATGGAAGATAATTAATAGCCTAATTAGAAAAGGTGGTAAGAACAAAGACTATCCGTGTTACTTCACTAAAAAACATGATGTAACTACAAATAATAAAAAAGAGATAGCTGATGAATTCAATGAATATTTTGTAAATGTGGGACCTAAATTAGCTAATGAGATCATAGAGCTGAGTGACATCGAAGGCATTAATAGATGTGATAAAAATATGAATTCTATGTTTTTAAATGGAGTAAATGAAAATGAAATTTTGGACATTGTAAAGGAATTTAAAAATAAAAGGTCTACGGATTATAATGCCATTGATATGTCAATAGTAAAGAACACTATCGAATTTACTGTCAAACCCCTTACACATATATGCAATCAAACATTCTTAACAGGAATCTTTCCAGATAAAATGAAGATAGCGAAAGTTATTCCCATTTATAAAAATGGAGACAGACATTTGTTTTCCAACTACAGACCAGTTTCTTTACTTCCTCAATTTTCTAAGATTTTAGAAAAGATATTTGTAAAAAGACTTGATCATTTTGTCGAAAAATACAATGTATTAAGTTAGCAACAGCATTGATTTCGAGCCAATAGATCAACCACACTGGCTATAATGGAACTGGTTGAAAAAATTTCTTCATCAATAGACAACAAAGAGTACACAGTGGGGGTATTTATCGACCTCAAAAAAGCTTTCGATACAATAGATCACAAGATATTAATGAATAAGCTGGAAAACTATGGCATTAGAGGTGTAGCATATTCCTGGCTGAAGAGCTATCTGGATAACCGGTACCAGTATGTAAATGTTAACACTGAAAATTCAGAGCTTCAAAAGGTCACCTGTGGGGTACCCCAAGGGTCAGTCCTTGGACCCAAACTTTTCATTCTCTATCTAATTGATATTTGCAGAGCATCAGAGCTGCTACATTTTGTTATTTTTGCTGATAACACTAATTTGTTTTGTTCACATAAAGATCTGAATGAGCTTTTGGATAAAGTCTAAAGTGAATTGTATAATTTGAAAAAATGGTTTGATGTGAACAAACTGTCATTGAATTTAAGTAAGACAAAATTCATAGTGTTTGGAAATAAAAAAAATTAACAATGAGGTTAAACTCAGGATTAACAAAGTAGAAATAGAGAGAGTGTAAGAAAACAAATTCCTGGGTGTAATGATAGACCATAAATTAAACTGGAAACCCCACATAAACTACATTCAATCTAAAATATCAAAATCTATTGCAATACTGACATCTTGGACCATAAATCATTATTAATTTTGTATTCCTCATTCATTCTTCCTTACATTACATACTGTATAGAGATATGGGGAAATACTTACAAAACTAATACAAATTGCATTTTTTTGTTGCAAAAAAGAGCTAGAAGACTGGTTAACAAGGTTGAATACACACACCCCACCAATATGTTATTCGTGCACTCTCAAAATTTGAAGTTTACGGATTTGGTTAACTTTAAAACATTACAGTTAATGTATAGAGCACATTGTAAAACACTTCCAGACTGTATCCAAGGGTTATTCACAAAGAGGACAAGCATTTATCCACTGAGGGGAAATTTCATTTTTGAAAGGAAATGGGCAAGAACTAATATGAAAAGTAGAAGTGGGTCAGTGTATGGAGTGAAGTTATGGAATGATTGTGACATTGAATTGAAAGAAAGTAAAAATATGGGTTCATTTAAGAAATTTTTTAAAACCAAAACATTAGAAAGAAGTGAATGTGGGGATTTGTGAATTTTTGAAACCAGGTATCTGGATATTTATGTTTTTAGTTTGTTAGGAGAACTTAAATTGTTAATTTATTTTACTTTGTCATGTTGAAAAGTCACTGCTACTGACGTAAGTTTTGTTTGAAGAAACTGAAATCATGTTTTAAAAAGGACAAAATAAGCTTAGGCCTCAGTCTACACCTTTTTTTCGGTCAAAGAAAACAAAAGAGAATAAAAGAGAAAATAAATAATTTGTAAGAGAAACATATAGGGATGAGGAAAGAATGATGATAAATTAATTGTTTTGTTTATATGTCTTGTCACTTTTTTCTCTTATATTTGTTTTGTTTGTCTTGTTTTGTTTGCATGAACAACTGTTCAAGAAATTATTCATGGAAATTATTGTGAATTCATTTTTTAAATGATCGGAAAAATAAAACCTAAAATCTAAAATGCAGAGTATAGTTGGGTCTGCCGACCAGTCATAGCGAGTCACAAGTCTCTCCCTGATCAATCCTGCTTCAGACTGATGTTAGGACCACCCACACAATTTACATAGAGACACACAAATATCTATTTTCATTACCAAAATATATGTATTCTTCATATAATTATGTATTGAAGTATTTATTTCTCCATTAATCTATTTTTTTATTTAAGTCAGACAGCGTGCAATGTTACAAACATCAGACAATTATTGACTCAAAACTGAACTTTGATGAACAGTAATAAAACATAAGAATAATGAGTTTGATGTTTCCCTGCAGGAGGGGACACCTGAATGCTGCCTGTCCTCCCGGATTATTGTAAGTGTGATCATCAAAGGAAAAAAAAGACTGGTATAATGTGTTAGCATTAGCATGAATTAGCTTGTGTTGTTTCTGAGTGTAATCCTAAACTGTTTTGTTTTTCAGTTGCTGTTTTTATGCCTAACGAAGTACAATGGAACAACAGCATCAATAAATAACAACCTGACCTGCATCCATTTGTTACTCGTTACTTTAATTCATTATTCTAAGTATTCTTGGGTATATGAAGAAGATTTAGAGCAAAACAAAGATTAGGTCCAGTTTAAGCTTTGGTCACATTAAACAACTTCCTCTCTTTAATCTGAAGTCTTGAAGTCGTGGTTTTTACATGACGTGACACGCAACAGCAACAGGGTCACACACTATAATATAGTGAACTGTGAGACACAGACGGGTCTTATCAGAAGGACTGGGATAGGATTTATCTCTTTGCCTCTGCATTGTTTTTACCTTCATTCCACTGAGTGTTGCCTTCAGCGGGGATCAAACTCACTGTCGGGTAAAAATGTTCAAACCTGGGTCAGAAAAATGCCTGTTAATCTTCCCAACGGCCGCTAAAAACATCCTTCAAAATACTTATTGGAGTCAGGAAAATGCTCTGGAGTCTGCAGAATCTGATGCATCTGGGTTTTATTGGAGTCAGCACAAAACAAAACAATGAGTGAGGTCCCGGGACCAGACTAACTCTTCTGCATTCAAACACCCTGTTATATTATTGTATAGGAGCTCCTCCTTTCATCACACCACCCACTGGTGTTTTCAACATTGACACTTTTGACAAATCAGAACCAAAAGTATAATTTGTGAGTAGCAAACGTTGTTTTATTCCCAAATTTAGGACCAGATCAGATTATTTTTATTTTTCCATATGGCTGAACTCTGTAGATAAAATGGTCTCATTCTAAGGTGATTGTTATTTTCAGCTGATTATACACTAATGAAAACATAGCTATTAATATTAAGTCTGACAATAGACCCTTCTTTGATTTTTATTAATGTAGTTGTCTCACCCTGAAGTCAGTGGGGAGTCACCCTGAAGTCAGTGGGAAGTCAGGACTGATTCTTCTGTGGCTAATATTAATTTCATAATGATCCTTACTGTCTGAAGTCCAGCAGCAGTTCAGTGACAATGTGCAAACACTACTGGGTGAGCTAACTATTCAAGAGCTTCAAAAAAAACATTTAGGGAATAAATTAAAAGTGAAACCCTTTTCTTTCGGCACCACTACACCACTGGATTCAGGGACATACTGTCAGATTATATTGCTTTTACTAGCTCTATCTACCTGCCTACCTGTACAAGTCCTGTGATAACATATACATACATATTTATATTATTTTTTATTTCTTTAAGGAATACATACAAACAGGTACATCCACATACAGGTCGTGGATGTACTACGATATCAGTTGTTTTTACAGGGAGTGCAGCGGTTTCTGTAGCTGTCAGCAGAGTTTCAGGCTTTTCTCCACATTCAGCTGCAGAGAGCACAAGTCAGAGTGGCTTCAGTTACTGCAGAGGTGTGCACACACAGAGATTTCCAACAAACCAACTTTAATGTCTGCTGTCCACAGCTGGTTGTGTGTCAGAGTCTTGCCTTTGACTTTATTAACACCTGCAGCATCACACAGCAGCAGACACCAAAGTGCAGCTTTAAAAGGAAACGCTTTTACACCAGCTTCATTAACCCGCATAATGTCAGTACACTGAAGTAAAACAGACTTCATGTATCCTGTGTAAATGAACTGCACAAAACACAGATTTAAGGGGGGGTCATTTCTACAGTACTGGTTGTACTAGTCCATCTGTTCAAGTCTCCAAGTCTCGCTGTGTGTAAAGTGGTAATGCTGCTTGTTCTTACCTTGCTTTGTCTTTTGCAATATGTATTTCTGTGTATGATCATGTTTTTTTTATATACTTTTACCTTTGTAAAACATATGACATATTACATACATATTCACATACAGTAACCTGTCCCTGAAACTAATCTGAGAAAAATCACATTCTGATTGGTTTAGTCCTCCACACCTGCAGCATTTGTTTCTACAGTGATGGTTGGCTATCATTCTGTTGTGTGCACCATTGGCTTTAACTATAACAGGTTTGCACATGCTTCACAAATTCAGTGTATTTTGTCACACAATTGACCTTTCTAACAATGTTAAAAAAAAGTATAAAGTAATTTGTGGAGGTGAGGATGAAAATCTGAACATTTAAAATTCAAATGATGACTGAGAAGACTACTTATAAAGACTGTGTAATAGGATGGAAACACCAGGAAAACTGCTCACAGACCTTGAGGTGACATTGGTGGATTGTTTAAAACTCCTTAGGTTGTCTGTCGAGAGGCGTTTTTATTAAAGGAAACCTCAGACACACTCTGAATCATTGAGCCAAAAACCCCACGAGGATTCAGCAGCTACGATTGAGGACACTGATGTCAGGTCCAAAAACAGTTTGGTGTTATTCTGAAGCCACATTTTTACCATCCACTGTTTAGATCTTGGTGCTTTTTAACTCTAGGTTTGATCCGCATGAAGGATTTTAGTCATTGGACGTCTGGATCTAAACTCTTGGAGTTATCAGAGAAACAAGCTGAGCTAACGTTAGCAGCCAAACAGCATCGAGGAAACTACTAACAATAATAATTGCAGACTATAATAAGCAGTGATGAAGTAACGTTAGCCTGAAGAGCCTGGTTATGTAGACGTTTCTAATCTCAGCACTGTAACAGAAAGAGAAGACCATTTGGGTATTTTCAAAGAGACACACATTTCATTTATAATGAATGAATATCTACACTGGAGCCTGGTGTTGCTGCTTCTGTACATTATGTTAATGATGAAGTGGTAAAAATAACGGCGCCTCCACATGCCTGTTCCTCTTTTACAGTCTTATTCTGAGTCCAGAGTCTCGCTGCATGTGTTAAAGAACCAACCGCTCTCTTCATGTAGCAGGAAAACAAGAACCAGCCAGAGTCGTGCAGTCTGTGGTCAAACATCTTGTTGGCTGATGAAACAGTGGAGACAGCTGTGTGCCACTGGTCTTTATTCATTCGTCTCAGTTCTGGCTGTCTCTCCTCCGTCAGGACTGAACTGAAACAGACCGGACTTCGAGCTCGGTGTGAAGTAAGTGTTAAAACAAACATGTGATGATCTTATAGAATCTGACACGTTGCTGTAGATTAAAGTAGCAACAGTATATAAAGTAGTTCAACATCTACATCCACATGAATGCAGCAGTAATATTGATCCATCACATATAATAGTCCAACCTGTTCTTGCATTATCACTACTTTTATTTTATGTATGCTGATAATACGCACGTTCTCACTTAAATAACATTTTGAATGCAGGTCTTGTAACAGTATTTACAACAGTGTCGTATCAGTACTGTAACTTCAGTAAAGGGTCTGAATACTTCTTCCAGCACACAGTTTTTTGGACAGGCGGGAGAAGGTTTTAATTAAGAGGTCATAATTCAATTCAGCCTTCCTCATTTAAAGCGGTTGTTCCAAACCTGGGGGGTCAGGACCCCCACTAGGGGAGTGGCGAGGCATTTCATAAATTTCTGTGACAAAACTAAATTAATTTGTTTGTTTTAAAGATGATCTCACAGGATAAGGGACACGCTGAAGACCTAAACACAAACTATATTCAGAGAGCCTTTTCTCTCTGCTAAATGATGAAACATTTTAAAAATCATAATACAGGCAGAGAATTGTATAAAAAGTTACTTAAAATATCAGAAAAACTCATGTCTGATACATCTGATATATCTCTCAATATTCACAGGAAATAATCTGCTTAAAATGTATCCAAATCTCTTAATTGTCTTTAATGTTTGGGTTTATCAGTTCTATACTGTTATTGTTGTTAATACGAAATATTAATAAAATATTTCACTTATTTTACTCAATGATAGAAAATTGTGTCCCTGAAATAAAAAGGTTAGGAACAAATGATTTAAAGGTCCAGTGTGTAGGATTTAGCGGTGCCGTTGCAGATTGCAGTCAACTTGCCTCACCCTCCTGTTCAAAGCATAGGAGAAACTATTGTGGCAACAAAACTAGCAAGAAAAGTAAAAGGCCCCAGATCTGCTCGGGGTCCCGCATTTACAGAAGCTAACTGATTAAACAAGATGTCTCACTCGTTAACTACTTCCATGATTAGCTCTGAAAAAAAAACACTAAAAATGTTAAAACACAAAGTCACACAAGACAAACAAACTACAGTTCTGGAGGTAAATTGTTTTTATGTATACCAGCTTCAGTGTCCTGTCGGTAAACCTCACATAATCTGTGCAGAGGGAGAAATCGCTGTTGTCACACTGTCTTTATACTCTTATAATTATTATAATACAGGGTGATCAGAAACATATACAACCAACAGATCAGTCATGAGTTGTGACGGCAGACACAATGCGATTGGTTAATGCTTTTATCCATGTTGCGAAAGCTCAGAGAAATCAACCTCCAACTGAGGTTGATTTCCCTGCGTCATATTCACGTCCTGAGGTACTCGAGACAAAAACACCAGTTTGAAAATATACAGTGCTGTGAAAAAGTATTTGTCCCCTTCGGGATTTCTTATTTTTTTTGCATATTTGTCACACTTGAGTAAATACAAAATGCAGTTTTTAAATTATGATTTCATTTATTAAGGGAAAAAAGCTATCCAAACCTACCTGACCCTCTGTGAAAAAGTGATTGCCCCCTAAACCAAATAACTAGCTGTGCCACCCCCGGCAGTAACAACTGCCATCAAGTGTTTGCGATAACTGGCAATGAGTCTTTCACATTGCTGTGGAGGAATATCTGGCCCACTCTTCTTTGCAGTTGTTTTAATTCAGCCACATTGGGGGGGTTTCAAGCATGAACAGCCTGTTTAAGGTCATGCCACAGCATCTCAATCGGATTCAGGTCTGGACTTTGACTAGGCCAATCCAAAACCTTTATTTTGGTTTTGATGTGTTGCTTTTTGAGGATCTTTTAGCCTACTTCACTTTGTCAGACATTTTCTATTTAAGTGGTTTCTTGATTCAACATGTCTGGCAGTAATCAGGCCTGGTTGTGGCTAGTGAAAATGAACTCAGCTTTCCAAAAAAATTGGTTAATCACAGTTAATTCATGATTTAACAAGGGGGGGGAATTACTTTTTCACATTGGGCCA